CTACCCAAATTCCCTAAAAGTATTAGAATTCTCGATTATTTTTATTAGATTAAATAAATTCATTATTTCGAAATTTCAAAATCATGATAAAAATAAAATTCTCAAAACCTCTCATTCAAGCCTAATGTAAAAAAAAATTAATTAAAATTTGTTAGAGTTTTAACAATATTTGAGTTGTCAAAATAATTATTTATACATTTAAAAGAAAAAAATCAGAAAAGAAAAATATTTTTAAATTAGTACACATTAATACTTTTATCATTAACAATTGAGTTAAAATAACTTAATTAAGTAATTCAACATTTAGATTGAATTCTATATTATATAGAGATATAAAATGATTGTGAATTTTAAGAATAGTAAATTATGTATTAAATAAATAGAAAATTTTACAACGTTCGATGAGTATCGTTGTACACCACTAACGATGAATATTGTTGAGCACTATTAATTTAATTTATAAAAAATTAAAATTCTAAAGAACTCAACATGTAATTATAAACTAGTTAAAAAATTAAAGGTAAATTATTTAAAATAAAATATTAATTACGATATTTTCTATATTTTTTACAATTTTAAAAAAAATAAAATTACTAAAAATTATAGAAAATAACGTAATTAATATTTTATTTTAAATAATTTACCTTTAAATTAATATTTTATAATTATTTTTTTATAAATAATTATACTCATCGTTAGTCGTGTTCAGCGGTGCTTGTTGAGCGTAGGAGATTCGTCTTAAATAAATTTTGGACAAAAGGGTCACTGTTGCCCTGATAGTAAACTCAATTTATCATTTTTGTCCCTATCGATTTTTGCATCAATTTGGTTTTCGAAGTTGTCTATGGTGTTCATCTTAGCCATCGAAGTCTGTTTTGACTAACATAGCCATTATCATTTTTCAACACCGAAAATTTCCAAATCAACCAAATATTACTCACGTGACTTGATGATAACGTGACATTTATTAAAAAAATAAATAATAAAATATTTAAAATATTTACTAAATAGAATTATTAGAAAAAATATCCAAAAGTTTGACCTAATCTCTTAATCTCACTGAAATAAATATTAAAATTTTAGGAATTTGTTCTAACTAGTGTATTTAATAAATATTTTTACTTAATCCCTTAATCCACAGACGCAGAATACCCACAATTCAGTTAGTCAGAAACAATCAACGAACTTCGCGAGATAGGATGAACATCATAGACAACTACGAGAACTAAATTGATGAAAAACGATATGGGCGAAAATAATAAATTGAGTTTATTACAGAGACAACAATGACCCTTAAACCTAAATTTTGAGGAAAAATATCTAAAAGTTGCGTTGGCAAATTTTCTTATAAGCCAAAAATTTTAACATTTTTAAGAAATACAATATTTTTTAAATAATTAATTATTCAAATAAAAGAATTCGTAAATATTAACATTTTAATTTGATTATCTTAAAAAGATTAAAATTCCTCTTAGTCGTCCACTGGCCATCAGACTGGTAGTGACCATCATCAACTATCCTCCCCAATTCTTCTTCTCCTTCTCCTTCTCCTTCTCCTTCTCCTTCTCCTTCTTCTTTTTAAGAAATATCCTCCCTAATTTTTATTTTTATCTTTTTGCTCTGTTTCTTTCCATTGTTTGACCTTGTTGGTCCCCTTTTCTCCCAACCACATTTAAGGTTGAGCGTTTGATTGAATCAAATAATTTTTTTTGTAATAAGTACTATTTTGTTATCTAACTCAATTCAGAATTATTTAAAAATTTTGACAATGAAATAAAATTTGAGTTGTATTAGAAGATAAAGTGTATAATGATTGCCGAATAAAATAGATATTATGATTTTAAATGAAAATACCTTTTAAAAAAACCACGGATGCTTTTAAATATTTTGATGTTCATCCTATGGATAACCTGATCTCTAGCCCCTAAGTATTCATTTATAGATATTTGATTACAAACTAAACTTAAAAAGTAAAAAATTTACTCTCAAAAGGTTTCTTACCTTTCACAGTTAATTTAATAAATTTGTCACTTAAGTTCGAGTTAAACTCTAACAAATTTGAATTCTGAAATTACGAAGGTTCCGAGACAAAACATCTAAATTCAATGAGACCTAAATTCAACAAAAAATAATTATTCACTTCAACGAATAAGTTCTCCACCTTGAGAACATATTTGAAACTTCTTCCACGAAACCCCTTACAGGAGTATTCTTCAACAATGATTGTCAGTTGAATCCAAAGCTTAGCAAAACTTGGATATAGTCTTCACATCGGTAAGAAAATCATGAGTGCTAACTTTGCTCACAACTTGTTCACTACAAGCAATATCGTGCACAACATTATTCCGATCATCAATGATAATTTTATCTTTTCTGTTACGCTCACGGAACTAAATTTTCTTCTTCTCAAATTTGTTATACCCACAAAAAAACTTTATTTTTCTTTTCAAATTCGTTATACCCACGAAATAGAACATTTTTCTACTTCCAAAACCGTTATGCCCATGATTGTTTTGTTCAACACAAAATTCTCCTTTGCCACAAAGGAAAAATAATAGTTCATCTTCTATAATTGTTAAACCTACAAAATATAAAACTTGACAGTTTTTTTTGTTATTTCATCAGAATAAGAGAGCTTTTACAAATTTTTGTACCTCAACCTTCTACAGCGTCAATCTAGTGTTGTGATCCAACAACGGAATTTCATATTTCAAAGATATCATTATAATGATCGAGTGAAACAACCCGGATGCTTTGATATCAATTTGTTAACAAATAACGACAAGCATAATGGTTGTCTAATAAAATAGACACTAAGATTTCGTAGAAAACTCTTTCGGGAAAAAACCACAGGCACAAGAGGAAAAATGTCACTAATGCCAAGACAAGAATACAAGGGGAGTCCCCATGGACAATCATATCTCTAACTCTAATCCTTAGTATTTATTTATTGGGATAGATACTTGATTACAAATAAAACTTATAAAGTAGAAATGTACTCAAACTACGTTTTCTACATAAAAAGAAAAAAAATAAAATTTCTATAAAAATTAAAATTTCTTCTAATCAAACTAGGTTTCTTACTTTTTTTCAATTAATTTATTTAATTTGTGTCACTTTGAATTCTAGTCAAATGCTAACAAGATAAATAAATTAAATTAAAATCTTATTAGCAATACGACTAAAGTTCAAGTTAGAACACATAAGGATATGTATATATGAAAACTCTTTTAAAACAAAATAAGAGGAAAATAAAATACATTAATATGATAAACTTGAATTGACTTGTTTTTATTAATCAGAGGTAATTATAAAGTAATATATGTTCGAAGATAACTGTTAATCATTTGACATTGAATGCTCACACCCCTGACATTTCTGGTGTCGAACCTGGGACCTCAAAGAATTTAATAAATTGATAATATTGGGTTTGTGTAAAGTTAGAGTGAAAGGTTGATGTTCCGCTACTAGTTCAAGAAAGAGAGCCTATCGAATCAACTCAGGATCAGGTATTAATAATACCGGGTACAAAGGAAAAGAAATTAACTATACAATATTTCATTATAAACAAAGACTAATATTTACTATGTTGGTCCTATTTATAGGCTTGTTTTGTAATCATTTTTTTAACATCTCCTTTATATCTCGTAACAAACTTTGCTCCTATGTATACATGACATGAAATACTCGAGAGTTCCTCTCCTATATAAGGTATATAAATAAATTCCATGTCATTTTAAGAATAATATCCTTTCGACTTCCTTTTAACTCAATCAAGTTCAAAATTCCAACACATCATCTTTATCTACAAATTGTAAACCCTCAAACACATCAATCTATACATTCTTTGAATAAACATAGCCAAAAAAAAAAACCAATGATCTCTAGTTTCCATCTCCTTCCACAAAAAAATCCAATCACAATTCGCTTTAAGTTTGTAAGAAATCGCTTTATCCTTTATTGGCAGCCTATTAAAATTTTCATCCAAGATATCACTAAGTGCTTTGGAACATAAAAAAATGCCACAATTTTTATCATAATGCCTTTTCTTTTTCTAATTTGATTATTTCCTAGATTCTAGCAATAGTAAGATACAAATTAATAAGGTCAATGGCATTGACAATAACTCTCAATTTCAATAATCTATTTCATATCTAACTATTTTCAGTTTTACCAATAGTTCGCCAAAAGACAATTTAGTACTAATTCATGCAACCAAGCTACCCACAAGGGACCTTTCTTTTTTAACATAGCTTTGATAAGTTGGATCAAACATACATTGTTCCATACCTCAATGTCTTTAAGGCCTAATTGTACATCTGAATTTTGGCAACAAATTATTTTCCAAATGACTTCAGTCATCATTTATGTAATTTACCCTTAGAAAACACCTACATGCGTTGCGTGGATCGTAGCTAATGTATTGACAATTCAACCACCGTTTAGTGAGTCAATTACCCCTTGGAATAAAGGGTACTTCGGTATTTTTCACCTTATTACTTAAAAATAACATAGAGAAAAACAAAGTAAAAAGTAGAGTAATTATACGGAATATTAAAAAGAAAAAATGGGTTGGGGATCATTGGTCCACTTGGGAAATTTAAGATGGGGGATACAGTCAATGTCTCAGAAATCAGAAGTTACAGGCATTGTTTCCTCTCTCTCCTCCCAATGCCCTTTATTCATTCTCACCAACTCTTTCTTATATGTGTCAACTCACTCATAATACAATATGATATTTATTATTCATTACTCAGCAATATTCGTATTTCTAAACCTTTTTTTTTATATTTATACAAGTTTTTATCATGTTCATTACTTTTACCCTAATTAGTTTTCATATATATGTACGTCGAATCAAGCAAACATATTGCAAAGGAATGTATACTAGCTAAAGAGGTTTGGCAAAGTTTACATTACCAATGGCCATGGCAGAGTGCTCATTGGAGCTTTAAGGAATGGCTCAGCTGGTTACTGGATAATAATCAACTTGGGAAGCATGCAGAAATATTAGTGTGTAGATGGCTTTTATAGTATGCTCGAAACAAGAGAATACATGAGGGGAAATTAATCACAACAGTTGAGATCATTACCCATATTCGTGGACAATGTAAGGAGTTCCTCATGGCTACAACAAGGCTCACAGGCCCGAGTCGGAAAATCGAAACAAAATGGGCCCCTCCTCCATTAGACGCAGTCAAAGTGAATTTCGACGCTAGTTTCAATTATGAAGACAATACAAGCTGGTCGGGAGTTATTATAAGAAATAATGAAGGCTACGAAATGGGGGCTTGCAGAAGACGAACCTGGCGCGTAACTCCTTTCGTCGCTGAAGCTGTCGTTGCAGACCATGCTCTTCAATTAGCAAAGGACATGGGTTTCCATCGCATTATTGTAGAAGGGGATGCAAGAAAAGTAATTGAGAAATTAACTTCCCCATTTCCAGACTCATCTGAAATTAGTGCCCTAATTTGGAGAATCAAACAGAAGGTTATGGATTTTCTTACATGTGAATTCCAGTTCATCCCTCGTGATGGGAATCGAGTTGCGCATCTATTGACCAGAGAATCCATTGGTGGAGAAGACGATCTATTCTGGGTTGAAGAAATTCCTCACCGACCATCGCTTCAGGCAGAGGAAGAGAGACGGACATTAGAACCCCATTAGTTTTGGAGAGTTGGTATTGCTACAGGCTCAACAATATTTTGGATCATTTCTTGTAAAGCTTCATTGAAAAATCTCAGAGGAACAAGAAGTGAAACGGCCGAACGATTTGCTTTCTTTTGTTTTTTTCGTTTTTCGTTTTATTTATTTAGGATCAGTTTTGTTATTTTCATTGCTTAGTGTTGACAACTGGAACCAATTGTTTTTATTTCTTTAATAGGGTCAGTGTCTGAAATGTAAGGATTTAAAAATTTGGTGGTTTAATTTACATAAATTGAAAAGTTTAAGGACTGATTTTGGAATTTATGTCTAGTACTTAATATCAAAGATGGAAGAATGAAGGGGCAAAGAGGTCATTTAGCATGAATGAATTTAAAATTCATTTTAAAGGGTATTTAAATATGTAGGAAATAAGGAAAGAAAGAACTGAAAAGTTTGGAAGCTTTGGTTTTATCTTATTCTCTTCCACCGTATGCTTCCATGGCTAAGGTAAGTTAATTGAAGTTGGTTGTTTCTTGAAATTTGAATTTGGTTTTTAATCCCTGGGTGGTATAGAAGCTTAAATAAAGCTTAAAGAAGAGTTGAAACTAAGAGATTGATGAATTAATGGTGAATTAGTAAAATGAGTTTTTAAGGGAATTGTTAGGAAATGATGAATATTTAGATTCTAAAAGCATATTTAACTTCTCATAGGTGTAAATAAGAAATTTGAAGTGTTAGAAATGATTGAGAGCATGTTTGAAAAATCGGTATGATTTTTAGTTTCAATAGTTCTATGGAGAATTAAGGTTGTAAAGGGGTTTTAATGGATATAGGTTAATGATAATAAGTGTAAATAAGTTTAAATGTATGAATGGAGTTAAAAGTAGGAAATTTAAGTGAAATTTGGGTAAAATTCAAAGTGGAAGAGGTAAAATATGGGTAAGGGTATTGGTACTGAAAGAACAATACCGATACTATAAGGTTAAGTTGAAATAAATGGTTTGAACCGTATGAACAGAATCGATACTGATTGAAATAGTATCGATACCAAGAGTAAGGTATCGATATTGTAATTGAAAAAGGAATTCCAGAATGCTAAAATAGTATCGATATTGAAGTGAGTATCAGTACCTTAGAAGAGAGATATCGGTACCTTAGAAGAGAAGTATCGGTACTATGGGTATAGCACCGATACTATCCAGTTGGAAATGTTAATTAAGTGTTTCATTTCTCTTAAATAAAAGTTAATGGGTTAGATGTTAATTGAGTTCCGGTATTTATATGGGTCATGTTATGTGTAGATTTGATTGAAAGAAAGCGCGGAACGAAGGGACATACACCGATAAAGTGAAAGAGAGAATGAGAGTTTAAGGCGTAAGTGAGGAAAATGTGAGTGCTATTTACTTAATTTATTTATGATTGGAGGACAGATTGCGATGAGCCAACCTCAAATGTTTTTGAACAAATGAAATGTGTCGCAACCGCCTTTCGGGTGGGCCGAAATTTAGCTTCGACTTGGAATAAAATATTGGAGTCGCCACCAATTATTTATTTTTCGTAAAAAAATTGGTTGATCGGATATCATCTTGCCTTATCTGCGTTTTACCAGAAATGTCGGATTCGGGAGTCTGTTACAGTCAAGGAATGATTGGCACCCTTGAACTGCCCTTTCGGTACCATTTAATTTGTCGGTTGTCTCAATTACGAAAATTAAAATTAAAATTTAAAAATTCGATCATAATTATTTACCTTTTGATCAATTAAAATTATCCTAAAAATCATAAATAAAGTTAAAAAAATAAAACAAACAAAAACAAAGAGTTAATATTAAGATCGAAATAAAAATAAAGGAATTAAAAAAAATTAACTTGGAAAGAATTAAAATTCATGGATCAAATTAATTCTAAGAATGAGCTGCAAGAGAAAAACATAAACTTAGGAGATTAAATAGCAAAAAGAAAAAAACAGTGGCTAAATCAAAAAAACTAATAGTGACTAAAATAAAACAAAACTGAATAATAAAATTTAAATAAATAAAAAAAGAATGATCCAGTGACCAAAGTGTAAAAATACACTATAGATACAGGGGCATGAACACAATTAACACTAAAATTAATATTATAACATAACAATGAAAATAACTAAATGATGACGAACATTTCTAATTAAAAAAAAGAAACACGTAGACATCCATTTCCATATTACTCCAACAACTTTAGATCCAAGTATTTATATATTATCTTTTTGGGTTATTTACTTTATAGTCATGGAAACTTCAAGGCTTTATTGTTCCTAGAACCTCCTAGTTTTAGCATTAATCTCCGTTTTAGTCACCTACATGTGTTTATTTTATTTTTAATTAGAAATGTTCGTCCTCATTTAGTTATTTTCCATTGTTATGTTGTAATATTAATTTTAGTGTTAATTGTGTTCATGCCCCTGTACCTTTAGTATGTTTTTACACTTTGGTCACTGGACCATTCTTTTTTTATTTATTTAAATTTTATTATTCAGTTTTGTTTTATTTTAGTCACTATTAGTTTTTTTGATTTAGCCACTGTTTTTTTCTTTTTGCTATTTAATCTCCTAAGTTTATGTTTTTCTCTTGCAGCTCATTCTTAGAATTAATTTGATCCATGAATTTTAATTCTTTCAAAATTAATTTTTTTAATTCCTTTATTTTTATTTCGATCTTAATATTAACTTTTTGTTTTTGTTTGTTTTATTTTTTTTAACTTTATTTATTATTTTTTAGGATAATTTTAATTGATCAAAAGGTAAATAATTATGATCGAATTTTTAAATTTTTATTTTTATTTTCGCAATTGAGACAATCGATAAATTAAATGATACCGAAAGAGCAGTTCAAGGTTGCTAATCCTTCCTTGACTGTAACCGACTCCCGAATCCGACATATTTCTGGTAAAACGCATATCATGTAAGATGGTATCCGATCAACCAAATTTTTACAAAAAATAAATGATCGGTGGCGACTCCAATATTTTATTCCAAGTTGAAGCTAAATTTTGAGTCCACCCGAAAGGCGGTTGCGACAACTATTGGTAAAAAAATAAGGGCTATAAATAGTCGAATGAAAATGTAAGAAAAACAGGGGGAAAAAGAAACGAAGGGAAACAATTATAAGGGGAGTTCCTCTCAGTTTTTCTTACATTTTCATTCGGCTATTTATAGCCCTTATTTTACATAGCTTTACATAAAAAAATAGCAACTTGGTGTGACCATGCTTTAGATCAGATCTCACATGCATTTTTATCCTTGTGAGTTGGCAAGAAACATGCATTAGTGGAAGCTTGGTGTAATGCTGGGATGAGGACAAAATCTGGGGTCTACAAAATGCTATGAGTATATATGAAGGTTTTCTATGTGAATATGTTCTACATAAGTAAATGGATAAGTTGAATAATGATATGTAACATAAAATAATTATGTGAATCACTATGAAGATATGTTATATATGATTAAATGAAAATATTGAATAATGTTATGTGAAATTAAATACTATTAGTAATTGTTTGAATATGAATAAATAATAAAATTTGATAATGCTATGTGACAATGTTTTACGTGAAATGTTATGTGAATATGTGTTAAGTGATATGTTCTATGGAACATATGATAAGTGAAAAATGTTAAAAGGAAAGCCATGAGTAAATCCGTTATGTGAATAAAAGATACTTGAATAATAAATGCAAAAGTATTCTATGTGGATAAAAGACATTGGAAATAAAGTGTTGAAAGATTAATTATAAAACTAAAGCCCAATGTATATTTTATGAGAATTAGGGGTATAGTTGGCATGCCAAGAGTCGGGGGTTCCATGTGGTCATTCAGGACAAATCTATGTGGTCCTTCGGGACAAATTCTATGTGACACTTCGGTGCAAATTATATGAGCAGTGGTGACTGCATTAGTGCACAACCTCAATGTACTCGCATACCTTAATTTCTAAGCGATATACGTTGGACTAATAAAACAAACTTGATATAATTTGATCAATGAAATGTTTTTTTGTTTTATACGAAATGTTTCTAGGAATTGTATAAGCAAATGTCAAAGGTGTATAAATTAATCAATGAGTAATAGTGTATGTTATAAATTATGAATAGTATGTTGTTATAGTATTTCATGATTCTTTTATTTTTATTTTTTGAAAAATGGTTACTTTGCATAAGAATTCACAAAGTACACAACCCTAAGGACCTCATTAAAAAACCTCTCTAATCCTAAGTAGAGGAAAAAGAGTAAACCTTGGGATGGAAGAAAGTCCAACATGAACCTAGGAACAACAAGAACAACAGTCGGGAACTACACCACTAGAACAACCCAAAACAGACTACATCATTGTAGCTACACACTACCCCCTGAATGAAATTCAAAAAGGAACTTCACACCTCCAAAACAAAGAACAATACCATGCTACAATCTCTGAGACATAAGATAGTTGAGCACATGCCTATCAAAGATTACTACAAAACACCATAACTTTTATCTCTAGAGTTGCAAGAATCGATAAAAACTCAAGAACTACCATCTGACCCAAATCAACTAGTATGACAGAAGATTGAAGCCTCTCAAATAACACAACTATCAGAATGGAACACAAACCAAGGATAACTGGAAGTCACTGAACTGGAAAAGAAGCTTACACCAAACACTTCTCTCTCGTAGCTGGAAAATCCACACCCAGAGCATCACCAAATGTTGAATAAGCTTCAGCTTCAAACACACAACCCAAACGACGCCCAGAAGTATCCCCACCATTGTTAATACTTTCTATCATCGAAACTCTAGGAAAAACAACACACTCTAGCCTTACGCTATCGAATTCATCCTTTTTAATAAGATGAAATTCTTGGAAGCACTCCTCATATGCTTGGATAGAAGTCACCTCTACAAAAGTCACAATCTGCGGCCTGGAATATGTGGAATTAGATTATAGTAGCCACAATAGTTTTTAATCACTATATATCTTCATCAGCCCATAACTTTCATCATCAGACAGAAAAAAAGGCCCAACGCAAAAATGAGACTTCAAAGAGTCTCACTACACCAACAGCGACAAATCCCACTAAGACATCCACATGCACTAA